TATTAGGGGTAAAATGAAACTGGTATTAAAAAGAAAACTGATGGTTTCAATTCCTGCTCCACTCAACTGCAAATAAACCAGAGGACCTCGATCCCTGCTTCAATTAAACAATTGTATAATGAAAACGAAGGGTTCTATGCGACTCCTAGCAAACAGTAGAGTAGAATGGGGGTCCCTTGACCATTCATCTTCTCACCAATAAATCAAGATGTCCTCTAGACGACAGCTCCCTTGATTAATAAGAAGCTCAATGAAACAAGTGGTCACTGAAAAACTCGGGTCCCTCCAGTCTAATCCTCCACATTTTTCATCAAGCTCGAAAAAAGTGCTGAATTAACTATTATATCTGCCAGACTTTGACTTCATAAATTGAGACTATAACCAAAGTCACCAAATCTTTTGAATACCTGTATACCGTAGTCCTACCATAGATAAGGATTACTCATGCTGGTGTTAACCCTGTTTTGTATGCGCGTTGAAGTTCAATGGTATATTCGAGATGGAGTTGAATCTTGATTCAGTTCGAGAATTGTATCCTGGCTAGAGGGGCGCCACTTGTGAAGGCTTACTCAGCCCTGTAACAACTTCACCCAGTATTACTAAGGCTGGCTCCTCCTAAGGAAAATTAATGCATAGAAAAAGAACAAAAACTGACAAACATAAACACTTTATTATTTAGAAAATAAATGCCTCAAATGATGTAGTGGAAGTTTTAGCAGTAAAGGTCGAGAACCAAACCTAGTCATTGTGGTAGTCTACAAGCCTCCGGATGCAACATCCCAGCAATTCCAGGAACAGCTGTTAAAAATTGACCACTGTCTGGAAAATCTTCCAGCTCCTGCACCCAACATCTTGCTCCTGGGGGATTTCAACTTAAGGCACCTAAAATGGAGGAATATAGCAAATAATATTGTTGCAGTAATAACACCAGGAGGCAGCTCTGATGAAAACTCACACTCACACGAGCTTTTAAATCTCTGCAAAAAATTCAATTTAAAGCAGCAAATAATAGAGCCTACTAGACTGGAGAATACACTAGACCTCATCTTCACTAACAATGATGATCTAATAAGAAATGTCACCATATCAAAAACAATATACTCAGATCACAAAATAATTGAGGTTCAGACATGTATGCGTGGAGCCCCAGACCGACATAATGAGACTAGTCACGAGGGAGCACTCACCAAATTCAACTTCAATAACAAAAACATAAAGTGGGACCAAGTAAACCAAGTCCTAACCGATATAAGCTGGGAAGATATACTAAGCAACACAGACCCCAACGTATGCCTAGAACAGATTAACTTGGTGGCACTCGATGTATGCACAAGGCTTATTCCTCTAAGAAAAAGGAAGAGTAGATGTAAAATAGAAAGAGACAGGCGCTCCCTTTACAGGCGACGGAAAAGAATAACAGAGCGGCTAAAAGAGGTCAATATATCTGAAATGCGTAGGGAGACACTGGTCAGAGAAATATCAAGCATCGAACTCAAGCTAAAGGAATCTTATAGGAGTCAGGAATCGCGGGAAGAACTAAAAGCCATAAATGAAATCGAAAGAAACCCAAAGTATTTCTTCTATGCCAAATCAAAGTCGAGAACAACATCCAGTATTGGGCCCCTACTTAAACAAGATGGGTCCTACACAGATGACAGCAAGGAAATGAGTGAGCTACTCAAGTCCCAATATGACTCAGTTTTTAGCAAGCCGCTAACCAGACTGAGAGTCGAAGATCAAAACGAATTTTTTGTGAGAGAGCCACAAAATTTGGTTAACACAAGCCTATCCGATGTTATCCTGACGCCAAATGACTTCGAACAGGCGATAAATGACATGCCCATGCACTCTGCCCCAGGGCCAGACTCATGGAACTCTGTGTTCATCAAGAACTGCAAAAAGGGCCCCTATCATGAGCCTTTTCCATCCTATGGAGAGGGAGCATGGACACGGGGGTCGTCCCACAGTTACTAAAAACAACAGACATAGCCCCACTCCACAAAGGGGGCAGTAAAGCAACAGCAAAAGAACTACAGACCGATAGCACTAACATCCCATATCATAAAAATCTTTGAAAGGGTCCTAAGAAGCAAGATCACCACCCATCTAGAAACCCATCAGTTACACAACCCAGGGCAACAGGGGTTTTTAGAACAGGTCGCTCCTGTCTGTCTCAACTATTGGATCACTACGACAAGGTCCTAAATGCACTAGAAGATAAAAAGAATGCAGATGTAATATATACAGACTTTGCAAAAGCCTTCGACAAGTGTGACCATGGCGTAATAGCGCACAAAATGTGTGCTAAAGGGATAACAGGAAAAGTCGGTCGATGGATCTACAATTTCCTCACTAACAGAACACAGAGAGTAGTCGTCAACAGAGTAAAGTCCGAGGCAGCTTTGGTGAAAAGCTCTGTTCCACAAGGCACAGTACTCGCTCCCATCTTGTTCCTCATCCTCATATCCGACATAGACAAGGATGTCAGCCACAGCACCGTGTCTTCCTTTGTAGATGACTCCCGAATCTGCATGACAGTGTCTTCCATTGCAGACACTGCAAGGCTCCAGGCGGACATCAACCAAATCTTTCAGTGGGCTGCAGAAAACAATATGAAGTTCAACGATGAGAAATTTCAATTACTCAGATATGGTAAACACGAGGAAATTAAATCTTCATCAGAGTACAAAACAAATTCTGGCCACAAAATAGAGCGAAACACCAACGTCAAAGACCTGGGAGTGATCATGTCGGAGGATCTCACCTTCAAGGACCATAACATTGTATCAATCGCATCTGCTAGAAAAATGACAGGATGGATAATGAGAACCTTCAAAACTAGGGAGGCCAAGCCCATGATGACACTCTTCAGGTCACTTGTTCTATCTAGGCTGGAATATTGCTGCACACTAACAGCACCTTTCAAGGCAGGTGAAATTGCTGACCTAGAAAATGTACAGAGAACCTTCACGGCGCGCATAACGGAGATAAAACACCTCAGCGCTTGAGGTTCCTGAACCTGTATTCCCTGGAATCAGGCGGGAGAGATACATGATTATATACACCTGGAAAATCCTAGAGGGACTAGTACCGAACTTGCACACGAAAATCACTCACTACGAAAGCAAAAGACTTGGCAGACGATGCACCATCCCCCCAATGAAAAGCAGGGGTGTCACTAGCACGTTAAGAGACCATACAATAAGTGTCAGGGGCCCGAGACTGTTCAACTGCCTCCCAGCATACATAAGGGGGATTACCAATAGACCCCTGGCAGTCTTCAAGCTGGCACTGGACAAGCACCTAAAGTCGGTTCCTGACCAGCCGGGCTGTGGCTCGTACGTTGGTTTGCGTGCAGCCAGCAGTAACAGCCCGGTTGATCAGGCTCTGATCCACCAGGAGGCCTGGTCACAGACCGGGCCGCGGGGGCGTTGACCCCCGGAACTCTCTCCAGGTAAACTCCAGGTTAACCCTTTTGGGGCCTAGTTCCTAGGCTTTTTGTGTTTCCATATGCTCTTGCGCTGCCGTCCACAGGATGGATATCAGGTGCATAATAAACTAGCCACTTCGGTGGCAAAATCTAAAAAAAAAAAAAAAAAAAAAAAAAAAAACAGTCCAGCGGCCCACCGGGCACTGCTCGTATGGCTAGTCCGCCTCTGGTCAGGAGTACCTCAACATGTTCATTAAGAGCTTTATTGTTAAATGTGTTAGGCTAAAAACATACCCACTGAACATGGGTCATTAATTAAAGCTGAAAATTCACATTCATATTTAAGAAAACTATAAATTCTAAGTATATTAAATTCTCAGTGTATATACACTAAGGCATATTTGATCATTGTAAATACTATGTCAGCTAGGCCTGTATATCATGTACATGTACTTGTAGTAAATAAAGCTATTATGTATTTAAGAACTTCTTGCTATTAATTCTGATATACTATACATAAAGTTACAAAATTATGTATTAAAAGTACCTTCAGTGCACCTAAACTACTGGGAACGGTTGAAGGTTCTTGATCTGTATTCCCTCGAGCGCAGGCGAGAGTGATACATAAAATACATTTGGAAGGTCCTGGATGGATTGGTACCAAACCTACACACGACAATCACTCCCTATGAAAGCAAAGGACTCGGCAGGAGATGCAACATTCCCCCGATGAAAAGCAGGGGCGCCACGAGTACACTGAGAGACAACACAATAAGTGTCGGGGCCCAAGACTGTTCAACTGTCTCCCAGCATACATAAGGGGGATTACCAATAGACCCTGGCTGTCTTCAAGAAGGCAATGGACAGGCACCTAAAGTCAGTACCTGATCAACCGGGCTGTGGTTCGTACGTCAGCTTGCGTGCAGCCAGCAGTAACAGCCTGGTTGATCAGACACTGTTCCACCATGAGGCCTGGTCTCGACCGGGCCGCGGGGGCGTTGACCCCCGAAACCCTCTCCAAGTAAATTCCAGTGTGAGAGAGGGAATCTTGATGCTGGAGAAGAGCTCTTGAACCTAAGAAATAAAACTGCCCTCCTTTTCATCGGATGAAACCTGAATACTTCCAGTTCCCCTGCGGTTTTATCGATTTTCATATAGTTGAGTTACTTAGCTGAATTTAATTAAGATTTAAAAAATGAGATACTACAGGGACCCCAATGCAAATAAGTCACTTTGACTTTTTTGGGATGTTATCCTAGGTAATTTACACATGTTACCATGTATGATAATTTGCGTAGCTGTATTTATGTTCCTAAATAAACTTACTCACTCCTAGCAAGCAAATAGGTACCTGGGTGTTAGTCGACTAGTGTGGGTGGCATTCTGGGGGACAAGCTTGAGTAAGTTTATTCAGGTATATGTACACATAAATACAGTTACATAAATTATCACATATAAAAGGATATGTGTAGATTACCTAGGATAGCCCCCAATGGAAATAACACAGACGGTTCCTCCCCCAAAATCTTATCTTAATTACCCATGAATGTAAAAAATGGTATTGAGGGTTGGCGGGTGTAGATCGTCACTTGTTTGTTTACAAAGTGGCCGCTGCTGCTGCTGCTGCAGCTGTTGTGGTGTTGCTGTTCCTGTCACCACTTATGAACTAATATATGCTCCATAATGGCCACTAGTAAGTTGATCTCTTTAAACTGCTGTTTAGGTTGTCTCTCCCGATAAAACAATGCGTTTGAAGTTGAATTAGAGGGCACAGGAGAGAGTGTTAACTGGTTAAACGTGCAGCAGGCGTTTACCGCCAGAATTACAAACTGACGTTTTTAAATAAGTAAATAACTTGTTAACCTTCCAGGGGGGTTGCCATGATGCTAGTGGATAGTCCTTGATCCGAGGAATTGGATATATCCTTCCCTTCGTTCAAATGTGATTACTTTTCATTCCCAGGCGTAGTATGACCATCACATGTGCAACACTTGTGAAAGTGTCGGTTTTCTCTACCATTAATATAAAGTGACCCTTAGAGGTTTAGCGCTCCTCCATAAATGTAATGAATATTAATTTTCTTGGTAATATTTTTTATATAATGTAGCATGACCACTGATCAAGATACTATGATTGGTAATAGTGAGACATGCAACAACTGGGTATCTTTATTGTTGAAACATTTCGCCTGCTTAGCAGGCTTCTTCAGTCGAATACAGAGGTAAATGTTGGGGCAGCGGAAACAGTGTACAGGTGATCAGTTCATCAACTGCGAAGAAGCAGTTTTGAGGTTGTCAGTCCTTCAGACTTTATAGGTTACAGCTTCATAACCTTGACCAATATAATTGGTAAACAAATGGTTACTGAGGCATTTAACAGACCATGATAGATGCTCATATTCTATTGTTATAAATCGCCTATTTCAGCCGTTCATTAGCTATCAGTAATTCAATCTCTAGTGCCGTACACACATTAGTTACATTTGTCAAAATGTAGTTAGTATTTAACTAACTACAATTGTCGAGATAATGAGCCTTCATCAGTCATTTTTAATACCATGGCATTTTATATTGTAGCTATTTGAAACTTAAATATCTTGCCATTTGCTATTGTTTTTTATACTTTAATGAAACATTACTTATATGGATTTAATTTGTATTGAATGTTATATATACTTTAATAAATCAGCTGCAACAGGAACAAAAATTGTATTCAAGCACTGCATAGTAATAGCATTTATCAATAGCTTGTGAAAGCCTTTACTACATGAGATAAGTTTTCTGATTCTGTATTTTTTAATATGCTGTACTGTAACTCCTTGGGCATTTATGATTCAATAGACTTATACAAATGAAATATGTAAAAAATCTCTAAAAACAAAAATAACTTTTTTTCCATCTTATAAATGAGAGACTATATAAAAGACATGTCTTTAAACATGAATAACTTTGTTCCATTTTATGAAAAAAAATATTTCACTGGCATTGTTGAATCCAATGTAAATTTGATTAGTAATCATTATTGTAAATTTTAGATTAATTACCTAAGTTATGTAGCTTTCAAACTATTATTTCATATTAATGCTATCCCACCTGTTGGTGAGGGGTTCATCATCCAAGGAACTGGCATTATACACCATTTTTTGGATTGAATCTACCTGCCTACCTGGAGAGTATTCTGGGGATCAACACCCCTGTGGCCCGGTCCATGACCAGGCTTCCCGGTGAATCAGGGCCTAATCAACTAAGCAGTTACTGCTGGCCGCATGTAGTCCAGGCACTGTATTGCCTGTTGGTTTGGCGCTTCCCTTTGATTAAAATTAATTTGCATTAGTGACCTAAACAAGGAAATACTTAGTGATTAGTACATTTCATGTTGACATAAATATAGGCTGACAGATTTAGAGGGCATCAGGAAGCTTCACAAAAAATCAGATAACATAATGCTAAGAAAAGATTTTGTTCGGATTTTTAACCCAGAGGGTTAGCCATCCAGGATTTAACCCAACTTTCAGTTTTATTTCCATTGGGGTCCTTTAATCTTCTAACCAAGGATGCGACCCATAATGGTCAACTAACATACCTGCCTACCTGGAGAGTATTCTGGGGATCAACACCCCTGTGGCCCGGTCCATGACCAGGCCTCCCGGTGAATCAGGGCCTAATCAACTAAGCAGTTACTGCTGGCTGCATGTAGTCCAGGCACTGTATTGCCTGTTGGTTTGGCACTTCCCTTTGATTAAAATTAATTTGCATTAATGACCTAAACAAGGAAATAAGTGATTAGTACATTTCATGTTGACATAAATATAGGCTGACAGATTTAGAGGGCATCAGGAAGCTTCACAAAAAATCAGATAACGTAATGCTAAGAAAAGATTTTGTTTGGATTTTTAACCCAGAGGGTTAGCCATCCAGGATTTAACCCAACTTTCAGTCTTATTTCCATTGGGGTCCTTTAATCTTCTAACCAAGGATGCGACCCATAATGGTCAACTAACATACAGGTATCTACTTGCTGCTAGGTGAACAGGGGCAGCAGATGTAAAGAAACATGTCCAATGTTTTACCCGTGCTAGGGAATGATCCTTGGTCCTTTAGAGTGTGAGCCAAGGATGCTACCAACTGAGGCATGAGCACTTCAGTATGGACATGTGTAAGGTCCTAATCCTTGGGAAAAAAATATGTTGACTAAATACTGAGCTGTAGCTACTTTCTTTATAAAATATATGTTGTATATAGCACCATTGGTGTCATTGTCACTACTATTTTGAATATATTTGCATGAAAATATATTCCCACTTTGTGATGACAAAATCCACTAAGCACATATGTACATCATGGAGAGAGATGTTTTTTGTTGGATATAAATAAGGTACATAAGAGTTAAAATGGTTATTTGGTAAAATGGAGTATCACCACAGTGTATACTCACCATTACCTTTTTTCTGGGTTCCATCAATGGGCTCAATTTGGTTTTCCTACATGGGATTCGGGTGTCCATGTATGTGGATGATCTTGCCATTTTTGGTGCTTGTCTTGTTCCTGTTATCAACAGTGCTGCTGATGTGTTTGCTTTATTATTATTGTAGTCATAGACTCAAAAGTGCATAGCTAGCGATTCAAACCTTTGCATACAGTAGTCTTTGTATCGTCTTTAGCAGACAAAATGGTTGTCATTTTGTTAGGTTCCTGGCCATGATGAAATTTTGGGTACAGTAATTAACTTGTGGACACCAGCAAGTTCTGCAGTTCAGAATCATTCAGTCTCTTTCTCTGACTCTTAGCTGGTACTGATTTTCCCTGCAGGCTTTAACTTTTTTGTAACTGTCTTCCCTTCACCACTTCTGTCTCTCTCTCTCTGTTTCCCCCATCCTTGCTGTGCAGTGATGAATTACTCACACGTGATAGCAGTAGCATAGCTCTGCTCTTGTAGCTACGTATATATAGTTAGATAATAGGTAATAAAAAATAATTATGGGTTTACCATGGCTGATTTTCATGAGTATAGTAATAGTAATTAATAGCTTTATGTAAATCACATCACAAGGCACTTCATTTGAACCTTCTACTATTATGCATATGTTCACATCCTATCCAGATGTTCACATAGTTGTACTGTATATATGTGGCTTTGTGGATGCTTTTTTTTTTTTTTTTTTTTTTGTAGGAATGGTCGAGTTTACCCTTATTACTCTCAAAGCCTCATAAATGATAATAAACAACTCGTAGAACAGAAGGGTTTGAATGAATGGTAAAATATAGCTTGTCGTGGTTTCACACTGCTCATTCTGAATCCTCACATACAGATTGTTTAAATACATAAATAATTAGATAAGATAGGAAAGGTATTTATGGGTTGAAGTTATCCCAGAAGATGTATACCTGGTATCTTAATCAGCTTTTATCAGACTCAATGAATGTTTTCCTCTTAGCTTAGATTTATTTTCCAGATAAAGGAATGTGGGCATCAATGATGGCCCTGGCACAAGCAGTGCAGCGGGCAGTAGAAACGAGTGCCACCAGTGGAGGAACTCCAGAAGCTTTGGAAGCAGGACATGATCTAGAACTGGCTCTACAGCGGCATCGGACGTCATTCATTTCTCTCTTGCGGAACCCACCAAAAAATGCTAATGAGAGGTTAGCTGTGTTGTTTCTTCTGATATGCTATTAATTTTTAGGCATCATTAATTTAATAAGTGTGCTTTTCAATACTGCATTGTCCTTTTTTCGCACTATCTCTGACTGTTGAGTATTTTTTCTTTATTTTAATGCTTAATAATTTTTTGCTCAAAGAACATAAAATGCAAAAAAATATGTTCAGCAAAATAGGTGAAGGGGGTAGCATATGTTAAGGACCAAAGCTAAATTGTTTATTCTGCTTAACCCTTTCAGGGTTTTCAACGTACTAGTACAGCTTACGCACCACGGTTATTGACATACTAGTACGCCTAAATTCTAGCGCCTTCAGATCTAGCGAGAGAAAGCTGGTGGCCTACATATGAAAGAATGGGTCTATGTGGTCAGTGTGCGCAGTATAAAAAAAACTGCAGCACACAGTGCGTAATGAGAAAAAAAAAAACTTTGACCGTGTTTTTGGATTAAAAGAGTGACTTTGCACTGTATTTTCGTATGGTATTTATGGTTGTATTCTAGTTTTCCTGGTCTCATTTTATAGAATGGAAGACATATTACAGAAATTGAGATGATTTTGACTGGTTTCACAATGAAAAGTACCTTGAAATTGAGCTCAAAGAAGCAGAAATGTTCGATTTTCACCTAAGTTCAAAAGTAAACAAATCATGCCAAGCGTCCAATACACGTCAACTGATGAGTCTAATATTCTTTCACAAGTGCGCTGATATTTTTTATACCATTTCTACACTAATGCAGTAGTCTGCATAACAGTAAATCTTCTATTTTTTGTAAGAATAAAAATTCAAAGTGGAATTAAAAAGGGGCCTGGGGACATGACTAACGAACAGAGAACTTGTTATTTTAGTGCCAGGAATGTCTGTCTTGTTTATTCTGGACCCTATTTGGAAATTGGCATCTTCTGAAATTTGTGTGAAATTGGAAAAATTGCCAATTTCTAATCACTTTATTGGATAGTTGAAATTGGTAAATGGGTGGTTTCTTGTACTCATTCGATAGAAAAAATGGAGTTCTTGTGAAATAAATATGATTTTTGTCGACTAGTACACAGGAATTGGCCAAAAATAGGGCTCAAAGTGGGCGAAATCGCCGATGCGTAAACATCGTAGAGACCGCTAACTTTGCGAGAGCATAATTCCGTAAGTTTTCCATCAAATTTCATACTTTTGGTGTCATTATGACCGGGAAAAGATTCTCTGTCATTTCATGAGAAAAAAATAATTTTTTTTTTCCGAAAAATTTTCGACCCTGAGAAGTTTAGGAGAGGGCCTTTCAACCCTGAAAGGGTTAAAGATCAAAGGTAAATTGTTTATGCTGAGAAATTTATTTTATGAATTCTATTTTGTTTGAGATTTTATCTTGTTGCTCTCTTTCTAAAAAAAAAAAAAAGTATACTAACCCTAAAACAGTCTTGGTCTAGTGTTCTAAATTCCAAACAGAGTGAGTTAGGATAGGTATGAATATCCTCCTGGTCAGAAAATGTGTTGGAAACACAGCTTTTCACTAGAAATTCCTTCCTAATCCAAGGAATTGGTATTACCTTTCCTTGTATCAAACCTGGTTACCTCTAGTTTCTCAGGTACTATATGGCCCTTATGAGTTTAGTACTTCATGAATATTTTGAAAATCATGTGGCTTTAACTTTCAGGTATCCCAGATGTTTCCCCCCAGCAACATCACAGATCCATGGTGATACAGTTAATTATGAAACAGATAGTAATCCTGGCAACCCTCAGCTTCCAGACCTTTATGATAAGGTCACAGTTCCAGTAAAATTCTAAAATTTGCAGCTTTTTAACTGGTAGTACTATAATATTAATTGTAAATACAGTAATTAATAAAATTAGCAGTCCATTGTGCTTTAGAGATGCCGGAGGTATATAATAAATAGGTCGGAGGTGTATTGTTGAATTATTATCATGTCACCTCTGTTGGTCAGGCAAAATCGATGTTCAGACAAGGTTTAGGAACCAGGGGTGCTGGAAAATCAGTGTTGTACCTGCTCTATGTTTTTATACAATGTGGTTTTAAGCAAAAAAAAAAAATACACAAGGTAAAATTAATAATCTGTGCATTATTTTAGCAAAGAACAAGCTTGGATTATGAATGATCTCTAGGTTGGTGAAGGTTTTAACAATTTTTCTGCAGTTTTTGTGTAGTTTATGCATGTAATGCTTTGGATGAATTGCAGATTTATCAGGTTATTGGCAGTTTAATTCAAGATAATATTTTTTTATGAGACAGTATATCTTTTCAATACACACATTATTTTGGAAATGTAGCATTCAACTCTTGCTGTGTCTCAACTGAGAAAAAATTATAAATAATTTAGTTCAGATCTAGGATTTAGCTTAGCTTTAACACATTTCTAATTATTGTATAAACACTTTTCATTCTGCAGGTCTACTCTGCAGCGTTCCATCACCGAGCCAGTGACTTTACCAGGTCATGCTAGCCCAAGCAAATTGTCCGAGTCTTTTGTGAAAGAGGCCATCATTATTTCTGACATGTTCAACATGAGTGAAATGTCAGCAATGTCACTGTTGCGATCAGCTGAAGAAGAATCCACATTGTACCCTGGTGTTCCCAGGGGACTGATTGCAATCTTGTTTTATTATGATAGTAGAGTTAATCTGGCTCATGCCCTGAAGACATTGGTTCAGGCCAGGCAAGGAATATCATGGGTACTTCTCCCTGATAATGAAGAGCTATCACAGAGTATTACTAGATACTTACAACCAATTCTAAACATTAGCCTGGTGGATAGGATTCTGGAACTCGTCACATCAATGGACATCACAAAGGAAATAGAGCTATTGCAGCAGAATCGTGCTTTGGGAGATGCGAAGCACAGAAAGATAGTATTAGACAAGTTTCTAGCAGTTCGCAGTTTACTGGCAGAGACACTTTTTTGTTGGGCTGCACAGACTCCCCTAAAGAAAGATGAATGTCGCCGACTCATAGCATATATGTCTAAAGTAAAATTAACGGAAACTAGTGATGGTTCTCTAGATCCTATTAATTTAAGTCTGCTTATGGCTTTACTTTTCAGTTTAGAAGCAGGACACTTACTGAACTCTGAAGACATGACAGAGGCTCTAACTCAGTTTCCCATAACAAGTGATCGAACATTTGTACAAGAAATTCATCGTGAGATAAGGTCAGATCAAACTTGGGAAACCCCAGGATTGAAAGCTATAATACAGCTAGCATGGACTGTCAGCCTTGCTAACTTGAGACAGGTTGCTGTAGCCACTCAGTTAGCAGATATTGATACTATATTAGAGGAAGATGATGCTGTTCTTGATGATGCACTTAAGGGAAAAGTTTTTTCATTTATTCAAAATTCTATACTTTCCAAAAAGAACACTCCCCTTGACAATTTTTACTGCCAGCGTCTTCATGCAATCCTCTCCGACTTTATTATTCATGTTCCTGAACGAGTGAAGGCTATGAAGAATAGAGCAGATGAAAACTCGAGACTTATCACTGCAAACTTAAGAGAGAGTCTTCAACCTCCAACAAATTTGGATCAACCATTTGAGGAGCTTTTGACTTGTTTAGCTGCTTTGTACCAGGATGGTCAGTGTGGTGAGCTAGTTGAAGATTATTGGTGTCCTAGTGAGATTCTTCCAACAGCATCCCTGCAGTATCGTGGCCTAGGAACTAGACAAATGGCTCTCTTCAAGTTTGTACGGCTTCCAGGAGATTATTTGCCTCCTTCTTTGTTTGTGCCATATGTTAACCTTCTAACCAGTTTGGCCACGACTCCACGCTCTGCACAGTATGTTTACAACTTCTTACGGATGAACAGTCAACCCCTCTCACAGGGTAGTAATTTGGCCTGGGAGCATTTTATGACTGCCTTAACCCAGTACTATAACAATTTAAGAATTGAAGAGCCTGGGGCAATGGATACTATGTACCGATCACGTGGAACTCCTAGAGGCATAACCCCTCAAGAAGTCCAGGGGCTTCTTGCTGTGCTGCAGCTACTTACAATGGTAGCAGAAAAGGATGAGCTATCACGTGTGGCTCTTTGTGATAATGCTGCTTGGGCACCACTCTATGTGTGCACAGGTTTACTAACTTGTGCTGTGCCCCTAGCACTCAAGATAGAACTTGTAAATACTCTTTCTGCATTTAGTAATACTCCAGCATTAGCTCAGAGGGTTTGGGAATTGATTGAAGGAGGTGGGCTGATTCCTGTTCAAGAGGGTGTTGCAGGATATCAGCCACGTGGCCTACTTGTTGACATTGAAGAAATGGAGAGTAGCAGGGAGGAATTTCCCCTGACTCGGGCAATTCTCAAATTATTGCGGATTTTAGTTCGTGCTGGTATTCCTCCAATGCTTGGTGCTGCTACCCGGCAACCAGGATTTCGTCCATACCTTGATTTGGTAAGAGACAGGATATTTTTACGTCATGATTCTCGTGCCTATCGGGATTCTGGTGAACGTTGGGCTGTGGCTTGTGGCTGCCTGGAACTACTGCATCAATTGCTTACTGAACAGCTTCATATGGGTACAGCACCCATGGACCAGAGAGTTGGGCAGCCACCAGGTCGTTCAGTTCTTTTGGATTTAGTTCAAGAGTCGCAGCTTGTGAAACAAGTGCTTTCAGTACTGCATGATGGGGTTCGTATACTGGAACAGTACAAAGAAGTACCTGGGCAAAAAGATCTTAATGCTAGTCTGCTCTTGGTATTGCAGCTCCTGCTGGAAGCACAAGAACAACAACACTTGGTCCTAGGTACATCAAAAACTAACCCGGAAGTTATACTTGGTGTGGAGCGCCTGCTTATGGGTATTAATGTTCATACAGGGGTCAGTGATCACCTTTTGAATATAGTTAGGTTGGTGGGCCATCATCAAGATCTGCCCAGTCATGCTGCTTTAGCATGTCGTCTTTTGGCAACCTCAGCTGCAAGACCCAGCTCTCAAACCCATCTGTTGTCTTTGATCACAGCTTCGGCAACAACTGCCACTGCAGTTAGACACAGTTTTGTGGAAGTAATAGATCATGCTGCATTAGATATCCCAGAACACTTAGATGCTGCAGGTGCAGCTTTAAATTTGCTCTTAAAATTTCTTCCTCTTCCAACTCCAAATGTGGCTCACTTCTTACTGGGCTACACAACTGATGGTATGACCACCTTGCGCTCCGATTTATTAGGTGCTGGAGCCCGTGGATATCCCAGGACTGCAATACATGCTGTACTTGCTTCTCTTCCTTCATGTCCACCCAGTTTGTCGGAAGTTGCTTACAGACTAATTTTTGAACTCTGCAGTGACACCAATACTTCGGCTCCCACATTGCGTTTTCTTCGATCCTCTGAGGATCTTTTGTACCGCACAGTTGCTACTATGGGATTGCCACACACTGATTGTAGGCTTCGCCTCCTATCTCAGGGTTGGGTTCTACGTTGTGTAGCCTTGGAACTACGATATCATGCAACCCATCAGCAAAGATCACAATTGGCTCGATTAATTCACTTGCTTGTAGCAGGCGCAGAATTGCCCCAGCAGGAACCTTTAGACGTGTCTCAGGGTTGGACAGGAGGAGTTAGTGGTGGACGTGGGCCACTTCTTACTTTGTTGGATGCTATTGATCTCAGTGTAGATTTCCCAGCACCTTTACAGTGTGAATACTTCACAAGGGCATCAGATCTTATTACTAACTGTGAGAGCCCCTCTCCTGAAGGCCCTATCGTTAATTTGAAGGTGTTGCATCAACAATTGACATCCTTACTACAAGAGGGCAGCTCAGGAACCTCTCTAACTCAGCGTGATCCATTGCAAGAAGAACTGGAATTGGTAATGGGACATGCTTTAATGCTGAACCAGACAAGGGCACTTTTATTTGCACACAGGCATTTCTTGGAAGGCTGGAGACAAGTTGTGGAAGTTGTTGTAGCTGTGACTCCACCAGACTTGATAGAAACTGCAACCCATCACACCTTCCTCCATACACTTACTCATGATTTGACTCGCCGACTCTTGGATGATCTGGCCCTTCCATCACTTACCACGATTCTGGTATCAACACTGTTAATGTTAGTAACCACTTTACGAACTCTTCATGCAAGACCAGCACACCACCACCCACAGTATGTGTCCATGCTGGATAGTGGGAATACGTCACTTAAGGCTGAATTTCCTTCTTCGTTACAGCTTGTATTGCGTGGGCTAGTTGAATGTGTGGCGAGATTCAAGCAGTGTAGCCAGGGTGTTCGTGCCTCTATATATGCTGCCCTTCTTAATTACTTGCAGATATGTGCTGATCCTATAGACAAAACAGAGGAGGATGCAGATAATCTCCAATCCCTTCTGTTGGCCCCACGTGAAACTCAAGAAGAACAGTTTCACCGTGAGAATTATGAAGTTGTGCGAGAAGAACTTCCACAACTGGTAGATGTCTTAGCAGTAGAAGCAGGGGGTGGCCACCATGTATGTCAGGTGCTGGCTTTGACATGCCTCAGTGCTCTTGCCGCACTGGAGCAGCGTGCTGCCCCACTTACTAATGAATCACTACTGTTGTCACATCTTGCTGATCATGGGCACTTGCGTCGCCTTCTGGATGCCTTAAGAACAGATGATGGACAACTTCTTTCATTGTTAACTGCTGATGACGACGACTTACGACCGCTGTATGTGCATGAAGCTCGTATGTCTCTCTTGGCTCGTTTAGCACTGTCCCCAACTGGAGCACAGCAACTATTGCAATCTGGTCTTACTACACGTTTATCTGAATTGACTGCCTTAGACTATCGTCCTGCACAGCCTATGCAATCTGTAAGCGTGAAGAATTTCTTCCAAGCGTTGTGCAGAGGTATCGCACTGTTTTAATGGCATCAATAAGAGTTTACTTGGCAATTCTTACATCTTTGGGAAGCAACAATTACTCTGCTACTGCCCATTTATTAAGATTTTTGGCTGCCCATGGTGAAGCTCTTGCTTTAGGACTTTGTGTTCCAAGTCTGCCGTCTCTGCAAGCCCTCGAGGAAGTAGCGCTTTTGTCAGCTGCAGTTGCAGGAGCTGCCCCTCCTGGTCCCATAACAGCCACAGATCCATCAGATTTAGAATCAGGAGCACAAGCAACAAGACTTCAGCAATTGCTTCTAGCTTTGTTACCACATGTACTGCCTCAGAGTCGCTTGGCTGGTGCTCTGGACATGCTGCCAGAGAATGAAGAAGGTGTTAATGTAAAGGAAATGGCTCGTACAGCTACTTTAACTACTCTAGCTGCAGTACTAAATTATGCCACAGCTCGTCTTATTCATGGTGGAACTGATACTCGCGATATTACGCTAGTTTTTCGAGCATCAATGGATAATGGAATACCAACAGGTGCAGTAGGACGGCCATTGTCTTTGGCTACTTTAGTAGAGTGTGCAAGTCAGGTCAGTCATCACTTCACTGTGGCCAGAAGTGCTCGTGAAACTGCAACTGCTCGTCTGCAAGCCTTGGAAGGCAATCAACCAGTTGAACATCTGCGTCAGTATGTGAGTAGTGCTTTGGCCGATTCTGCCTCTCCTGCAGCTGTGCGAAGACTAGCAGAGGAGCACCTAAGTCAAGTTGTGGCCTTGCATAGACGTCAGGAGCAGCTTGCTGTTCATGCTGCCGAGTCAGCAGCATTCCTTTTGTGGAGACATCTTGAGTACTTTATTTGTCATGCACCATCAGCCCCTGGCCCTGCACATGATGATCTTTCAAGAAGGGAAGTTGGGGTTCCTCGTACCTTAACACCCAGTGAGATTGACAATCTCCGTAAACAAGCCTGGACAGCTTTACAGGAAGTACTGCCACGATTGCAAAAAGTTTATGAAGAGTACTCTGCTTCTACAGGGCACGTTGCATTTTTAGCTGCTGCCGTAACCAGAATAAGAAGGCTTTTAGTCCCGTAATACCAGTAGCATGATCATATTTATCTTTGCAGTAATGTGCTGTAATTTTACTGAATATAAAAACCTCTTACTTTTCTGATTCATTGTTAAATTAATTTGTTCAGTTTATGTGAAAAAACTGAGTACAGTTTTGTACCCTTAACTTTTTTGTATGTACATGTATAGTCATTATAAATAAAAAAAAATTGCTTACTTAATTTTCAGATTCCGTATTATGCTTGCTGTGTTTAGCCATTAGTTTATTTCACCATTACCATAATATACAAAATTTGCATATAACTTTGGTTTAGAATAAGATAAGCAAGCAAGAAATATAACATCTGACTTAAATATCACTAAACTTTCATAATTTGTTGAATACATCTACAAATTATAGCTCTTGACACTGCCATGGTTATAAATCAACATTGCATTTTTCTCTGAAATGGAGGGATATTTATATTATCCTTTAGCAATGTAATCAGTTTGGATGTTAACGTTGATAGAGTTGCAATTGTGGTTAATTTATATGAAATACACCAATGCCCTTTACATAGTATTTTCCTTTAACACAGAAATAATGCAAGGTAATGAGGACCTGTTTGAATGTTGTATAAATAATTACATCTGAACAACAATTTTTTTTTTTTGCATTCTAGTGATATAAGGTCTTATTTCACTTATAACTAACATATCTATAGCATTTACAATTGTATATTTATAATCCTTGTCACTTTGTTAACTTTCTTGGAGCAAATGTTTTTTATGTTAATGAAAGTTTTATACTGATATAATTTTTTTAATTACCTAATTAATACAGGATAGCTATTTTTTGCAATTTGAATGGAAATGTAGGATGTGATGAATGGTTTGAAAAACCGACAAGTTGAAGATTAAGACACTTATGCAGCATATGGGAATCTTTATTCAGGAAACGTTTCGCCACACAGTGGCTTCATCAGTCCAATACAAAGAGGAAGGCGTAAGGAGAGGAGGAGTATGAGGTAATCAGTCCCTCAGCCTGGAGTCGATGTGTTCAGTCCATCAATCTTGTAGAATGTACAGCATAGGGCCGTAGACGTGGCTTATATACTGTAGTGAGGTGAGGTGAAGCAGGCGGAGGCGGGGTCATAGTGGTACCATCCACTAGTCGAAGTAGGTCTTCGTCCAAAGGTTGAACAAGTGTTGAAGAATTCTTTGTAACAAGATCCCATGATGCTGCAGTGTCTGACAGTTGTGATGAATGTATATAAGCCACGTCTACGGCCCTATGCTGTACATTCTACAAGATTGATGGACTGAACACATCGACTCCAGGCTGAGGGACTGATTACCTCATACTCCTCCTCTCCTTACGCCTTCCTCTTTGTATTGGACTGATGAAGCCACTGTGTGGCGAAACGTTTCCTGAATAAAGATTCCCATATGCTGCATAAGTGTCTTAATCTTCAACTTGTCGGTTTTTCAAACCATTCATCACAACTGTCAGACACTGCAGCATCATGGGATCTTGTTACAAAGAATTCTTCAACACTTGTTCAACCTTTGGACGAAGACCTACTTCGACTAGTGGATGGTACCACTATGACCCCGCCTCCGCCTGCTTCACCTCACCTCACTACAGTATATAAGCCACGTCTACGGCCCTATGCTGTACATTCTACAAGATTGATGGACTGAACACATCGACTCCAGGCTGAGGGACTGATTACCTCATACTCCTCCTCTCCTTACGCCTTCCTCTTTGTATTGGACTGATGAAGCCACTGTGTGGCGAAACGTTTCCTGAATAAAGATTCCCATATGCTGCATAAGTGTCTTAATCTTCGAAATGTAGGATACTGTACATGTTGGTTAGTTTTGTAGTAGTATTTTAGGGAGCATTAATATAACCTACAAAAGTATGGAAATAGCCATTTTTACTCATTAAGATCCCCTCCTTGATGCTGGTGAGGGGCTCTTGATCTAGGGAATTGGATCTGTGATCCGGTTCCCTGAATTGAGCCTTAAGGTGCCTTAATGACAGCAAGGGGCCTATTGGTAATCCCCCTTATGTATGCTGGGAGGCAATTGAACAGTCTTGGGCCCCCTGACACTTACTGTGTTGTCTCTTAGTGTACTCTTGGCACCCCTGTGCAATGAGTACACTAAGAGACATGTCTGCCGAGTCTTTTGCTTTCATAGGGAGTGATTTCTATGTGCAGATTTGGGACTAGTCCCTCTTAAGATTTTCTGCCCCTCACAGATGATTCCCTGGTGCTGGTGAAGGGCTTTTGATCTAGGGAATTGTACCTGTGCTCCAGTTTCCTGCATTGAACCTGAATACCTTTCACCCCCCCCCCCCCCAACAGGCGCTGTATAATCCTATGGGTTTAGCACTTCCCTCTTGATTATAATAATTATTAAGATTTTCCTAGTGTATATTATCATATATCTTTCTTGCCTGCATTCCAAGGAGTACATACAGTCAAGGGACTTCAACCCTTCCCAGTAATTTAGGTGCTTTATTGCACTTGCACATGCAGCGAAAGTTCTTTTGTGTATTCTCCAGGTCTGCAATATCGCCTGCCTTGAAAGGGGTTATTAGTGTACAGCAACATTCCAGCCTAGTTAGAACAAGCAATTTGTGGAGATGCCCAGCACCTCACTGGGCATCTGAGATATATGCATCTTAATTTACTGTCCTGCAGCACTTCATGACCCTTGTGGGCTTAGCGTAGTTTTGATTGTAATAATACTGTCCTGTCTATCAAGAAAGCATACATAATTCCCTTTTGGCATCTGAAATGCCCTGATGTGCTCAGCTTAACCAACCTCCTTGCTGAAAGACCCACCTTCAACACAAACTCACTCTGACTTTTTCTTTTTTAAATACAAGCTAACCAATTGCACCAACTTCGGTTTTAGTTTTGTACTGCCTTTCAGTACCACTAACCCCCTATCCTTATATATAACTACACCAGAGTATGACACGAGTTTAGCGCTCATTTCGAAGTATAATAAGAAAATAAAATAATAATAAAATACTTAAAGGAGGTGCTGTGATGCCGGAGAGTTCTTGGTTGAAGGAACTGGACCTGTCCTTCCTTTCCTTTAGTAAGTTTATTTAGGCACAGGTACACACAAGTACAATTATCAAGGACCCCACCTGTCAAGGAAGGTTCCTTGATGCTGGTGAGGGACTTTTGATCTAGGGAATTGGATCTGTGCCCCAGTTCCCTGAATTAAGCCTGAATACCTTCCACATCCCCTCCCACAAGAGCTGTATAATCCTACGGGTTTAGTGCTTCTCCTTTATAATAAAGGACCCCAATGGAAATAAGTCGCTGTGACTTCTTTTTAGGCTATCCCATGTAATTGTACTTACGTGTACCTGTACCTGGGTTTAGCGCACCCTTATGCATATAATAAGATACTTCTTAAAGGAAGTTCCTTGATGTTGGTGAGGGGCTCTTGATCCAGGACCCCTCAAGGAAGGTTCCTTGATGCTGGTGAGGGGCTCTTGATTTAGGGAATTGGATCTGTGCTCCAGTTCCCCGAATTAAGCCTGAATGCCTTCCACATCCCACCCCAGGCGCTGTATAATCCTCCGGGTTTAGCGCTTCCCCCTTTATTATAATAATAATAATCTTGATCCAGGAAATTGGATGTGTGCTCCATTTCCCAGAGGTCATGACCCTTGTCGGTTTAGCGCTTTATTTGATTATAATCTATTTCTCAGAACTGAGCCTATGGTTTACATATAAAATATTAATTACAAAGAAGGCCTCTAGCATGCCTAGGCATTTCGGGACTTAACGTTCCCCCATAATAATAAAATAAATTAAAAATAAATTATTATTATACAGCGCTGTATGATTCTTGTGGGTTAAGCGCTTAGTTATGATAATAATTATATTATTATTATTATTAGATTCCTTGACGTTGGTGAGGGGCTCTTGATCTATGGAATTGGATCTGTGCTTCGGTTCCCTGAATTGAGCGTAAATACCTTCCATCCCCCCCCCCCACACACTCTCCCCGTGATTATAATAGTAATTATCAATATTATTACTATTTAAATTCTTGATTATTATTATTATAATCAAGGGGGAAGCGCTAACCCCGGAGGATTATACAGCGCCTGGGGGGGGGATGTGGAAGGCATTCAGGCTTAATTCGGGGAACTGGAGCACAGATCTAATTCCATAAATCAAGAGCCCCTCACCAACATCAAGGAACCTTCCTTGAGGGGTTTAAATTCTTGAGCTCCTCTGAATTTACCTCCAGTATGTTCTTGATACATACGCTGAATTAAAGCTACACCAAACAAACCAAATAGAACACCACTATCCTCATTAATTTACAATCTAAAATAATGAAATATAACCAAGGCAATATATTGTGGATCAGCATAATATGAGAAATATACATCAAAATACATAGTACACGAGTGGTTAAGACGCAGACGACGACACTCCAACATGGCAGCGTGTCGAGTTTTACTCTCACTCTCCTCTGCTGGTAAGTGATCTCATATATACCTCACCGACAGTATTATTACATGTGTGTGCTGGACTTGGTGATGCAGGAGGTTTAGTCTATATAAATAGAGTCCTGAAGGGTATTTAAGAGGTAAAAAAATGGTTTGAGTGGGTGTGTGTTTTTCTTTACCGGCTGAGAGATGGAGACAGTGCAGGTCTAGTATTTATTTAAATACTATTTTATGCAGTTTTGGATGATTACAGTTTTTTTGTATAGTAAAATATGTGTAAATGACCTTGAATACGCCCAAAAAAAGTCAAAGTGGTATATTTCTGTTTGGTGACAAAATTTGACTTGTGCTCCCCTTCCTTGGATTATAATATATATAATATATCTTTATTTCTACAAGTACATTGTAAGTCCTGACATAAAACCAAAGAGGGCTAGTCAGATTCTAGACATTTAAGCAGTCTGTCTTGGGTTCAAAGTTTTGCTAACAAGACCCTCTATATCTTTATTTTATTTATGTCTTTGCAAATAGTACATTGAGATTGTGTATTTAAATAATGGTTTGCAATGCAAGGAGAGCCTCTATTATGCCTAGGCATTATGGGCTGACTTAACATTATTGACTTACTGACTACTTAACACTAAGAATTATGTCATAGTTGTACAGTAAATTATTAATTATAAGTGAATCTAATTTATACAAGACAAAAGATGTATTCATATATTCAAAAATGCTTTTTGCGAAACAGTGATTCAATTATATTCCTGTCGACAATGGATAAAAGGTTCGAAAGTAATTGTTGAAATTATTTTGTGGGAATACGTATTTAGTATGTGAGTACTGTGTATTGAGCATTTAGTCTAGGGTGATTAAGTGGCTTTTGAGAAGTCTTAAATTGATTTTCAGACCAGGTTACTTTAGTATCTTCTGGTAATGAATTCCATATTTTGGGGCCCTTTATATGCATAGTTTTTTACACAGTGTGATATGGACATGAGGTACATCAAAAAGAGATCTGTGTCTTGTGTTATGGTCATGTGTCCTGTTAAGGTTGGTGAGGAGAAGTTTGAGTGGTGGGTTTATATTTGTGTGTATTGTTCTGTGTATGTAGTAGGCGCATGAATAAATACGGATGTTCTTAATGGTGAGCAGATTTAGACTTTTGAAAATTGGTGGAGTATGCTGGCGGGAGTGGGAATTTATCATTCTGACTGCTGCCTTTTGCTGGGTTATTAGAGGTCTTAGGTGATTTAATGTTGTTGATCCCCATGCACAAATTCCATATGTGAGGTAAGGTTATATGAGTGAATGGTACAGTGCCAGGAGAGCTGATTGTGGAACGTAGTACCTTATCTTTGATAGTATGCCTACAGTCTTAGAGATTTTCTTGGTGATTTGTTGTATGTGTGTCTGGAACTTAAGGCTGCTGTCAAGGTGATACCTAGGAAGTTTCCCTCTGCAAGTCTTGTGACTGGTGATCCATTTCGCGTTATGTTAAGTGGAACATTTGCAGCTTTGTTTCCAGACTGAATGAAATAGGTTTTATCAGTATTCAGGGTAAGTTTATTAGTCATCATCCAGGCAGATATTTTCTGCAATTCAGCATTGACAGTGTTGGTGAGTATGATTGGGTTTGGGTGGGAGAAGACGTATGTAGTGTCTTCTGCAAATATGGGTTTGAGTAGCTGTGATGCATTCGCTAGATCATTTTTGTAGATGAGAAAGAGGAGTGGTCCAAGGACACTTCCCTGTGGGACTCCTACTGTGATTGGTTGGGTGGAAGAGTTTGCACCATTTGCATACACATATTGAGTTCTGCTACTAAGATATGACTTAAGGTAGTTGAAGGAGTGACCTTTGATACCATAGTGCATTAATTTAGAGTACAGCAGTTCATGATCCTTGTGAAAAGGTTTTATTGAGATTATTAACCTGAAAGGTGAGTAATTCAGGGTAACCCAAAAAAGCCATGTCATCAGACTGTTATTACCATTGGAGTTCTTTAAACCTCTCCCTGTGGATGTGACCTGCACCAGTTTTCTAACATCCAGGTACCTACTTACTGCTTGGTAAACAGGAGCAACAGGTGTAAGGAAACACACTCAGTGTCTCCACTTGTCTGGGGATTGAACCTTAGTCCCTTAGTATGTGAGCAGACAACACTAGCATTTGAGTACCCATGAGCGTTCCAGGGCACTAATTTGTCATGAGAGAGAGAGATTTTCTACCAGTAAAGAGTTTTTCATATATAAATTTAGTAAAGCAATTGGCAAGCACTCTTCTAAAAAACTAACATAGCCTAACCTAACTTAAACTTGAATTATGTTGTTAGATTGCTTGTGGTTATATTTTAATAAGTCTCTGAAACTGAAACCTCGGTAACTCAGTAATTGAAATAGGTTACTACATTTGCATGACTTAAAAGCAAATCTTATTATAGGCCAAGTTTTTCTTGCTCATTATATTATAATGTAATTGAAATGTAATTTTTGTTATAGGGTTCACTCAAAATCTGCAAACTTTTTGCTATCGATCGAGCACTCTTGCTAGCCTGACCAGATCAAGGATTACTCCAGCCCTCGTCCAGACTCGCAACTATGCTGAAAAGAAGGTGTACCAGCGAGATAAACCTCACTGCAACATTGGCACAATTGGACATGTTGACCATGGAAAAACGACATTGACAGCAGCAATTACTAAAGGTAAAGGAAAGGATTTATTGTTTTGTTTATTTGTATAAAATAATTAATTTGTTACCTTATAATGATGAGATGACAGTACAGTAAATTCTTTTTAGTAAATTTTTTGATAATGTTAGTGGCAAAATGGGTTTTGTTGCTTGTAAATGAATTCTGTCAAATTTCAGTTTATGCGTATACACAGTACAATACAATCACAAACAGGCATCTTAACAATGCAGAACAAGCATAAGGGGATGGAAGTCTTTAGCTGTAGATCTTTTGCACTTTTGCATTGTCAATTGCACTGCAGTGTTGCAAGACAGTAACAGACAGGTGAGATTTCTGAGGCAAGGCAGAAGATATCAGTGGCAGCCTACGATTGTGTCATGGGTTGCCATTGATACCTTCTGCCTTGCCTCAGAGAATTTCACCTCCAATCTGTTGCTGTCTTGCAACATAGCAACAATGCAGGAGAGTGCGACAGATCTTTGAATTAAAGATTTCCATTACCTTGTGGCTTGTTCTGCATATATACACAGATTTGGAACCTTAATAGATATTAAAATTGGAGCTTGTGTAATTTTACCTGGGTTAGCTTTGTCGTATAATATGTTGGGAAACACTGTCTACCAGCCATTTGGAGTAATTAACAAAATGCATTTTATAATCAGTACATAGGGATAGATTTTTCTAAACTATTTTGCTTTACAGTGCATCTCTGTAATTCATGGAGATTAGGTTATCTGGCACTGACTTGAATCTTGAAACCATGGATAATAAGAAAACTTGCTTGTCCAAATAATTTTGTGTTTGCTGTATTTCTTTAATGCATATTACTCTTTATCTGTTTCATTTTGACACTCAAAGAATGAGCCCATTTTTTAATGAAATCCTGGGGTTTAAATTTCCAGATTGTGTACCAAAGAAACGAGACAATGGGGCTCCAAGAAAAACTACGAATAAGCGAAATTTTCTGCAAAATGACTTTTGGTAGAAATTTTATAATTGAATGGCATCTATTATGAAGTTTGTAAATTCCTGGATTTGACTATAAGTGGGTTATTTACCATTACTTAATTACATATGTCATTCAAAACCATTACATATGTCATTCAAAACCATTTTTTTTTTTTTTTTTGAATAAAAAATTTATTCCACCTTCTCCATGCTAGTGTTAGCTATGTATTTATGTTGCTCTTCTAGAATAGCTATTAAGTGAAGCAAACTAGTAAGCCTTTCTATGACTTCCCTAAAACTGTGCCTTTGGTCTTCTTCCTTTAAGTGGAGTTGTCTACCAGACAAGCTGATGTTTTTGAATTGTCTTCACAGGTTAAGTTTCAGTGCATTGGCATCTTTTCCTTTGCTATGGCCAATTCTCTCTTGAAGGAGGTGGAACACTTTGATGCTGGTGAGGGTCCCTTGATCTGAGGAATTGGAGGTACCCTCTCCTTCCTCTGGTCAAATGTAATGGCACCCACCTCGTCCCATTCCCCAGGCATATGACCTAGGTTATTGATTTAGTTCTTTCCCTTGAATGTAATAATAGTGCTTATTCTGTTAAGAGCCAAGATAATATCTCATAGTAGTAAAATTTATAAATATCAGCTTTTACCATAGTGTCTCAGGATGTTAGAAAGTCATGTAATACATTACCAATTATTTTTTTTACAGTTCTTTCAGATAAATCATTGGCAGAATTGAAGCGATATGAAGACATTGACAAAGCTCCCCAAGAGAAAGCACGTGGAATTACTATTAATTTAGCTCATATTGAATACAATACAGAAAACAGACACTATGGTCATACAGACTGCCCAGGACATGCTGACTATGTCAAAGTAAGCCTTCAAGGTTTAGTTAAATTTTTAGTAGAATTAACATCAGTCATATAAAATTATGTAATATGACCCTTAAAGTACAGTGGAACCTTGATTTTATAATTTAATTCCAGATGTTGATTCAGCAACCAAAATTGACTACAACCAAAGCAATTTTTCTCATAAAAAATAACGTAAATAGAATTAATCCGTTCTAGACCCCAAATGACATTATAATAATATATTAATAATGTATAACTACTATATAATACAATGTATAAAATTATGCAGTACAGGGAAACTAAATGAATACTAAATGAAAATTTAACTGAAATACTGTACAGTAAATGAAAATTTTACTGCCCCTTACCTGTCAGAGGAGAGTTAATGTTATTTCTCTTCTTGATTCTCTTTTTTTTTTTTTTTTTTTTTTTTCCACCACTACCACCTTGTTCTGGCTCACTGGTTCTTTGTCTCACTAAAAACCTGTCCAGTTAGTTTTGTTTCAGGCTCTGTTTTAACATTTGTCTAAATAGAGACATTACACTGTCATTGTACATGTTAGAGATGGATGGCCACTGCTTTGTCTGAATGGTGTTTTGCAGCAAACTTCACACCATTTAGCACACATTTCCTTGACAAGCGCAATGGGCACATCATCGCTTCCCTCCTCTTCCTCTCATGACAGCTCCTTGACCCATTGTCCAGTGCGCGCTCCATGAGCATGTGACCTGAGCCGCTTTGTTCCGTTTTGTACAGGCAAAAAACTTGTTGGTCAACAGCCAAGAGAATGTATGAAAACCAGGACATTTTTTCTAGAACACCTCACTCAAAAATTAATTTATTCGACTAGTAATGCAATTGACAGTCGAGGTTTGACTGTACCTGCTTTATGGGAAAAATATTATTATTATTATTATGCTTCGTACCCTTCTGTTTGGCTTTGAGTAACTGCTTTATTAAAAATTGGTAGTGTCTGATGTTGATTCTCTGCTTGCGGTAATTGAGTGAGTTCCCAAGAGGCTAACACAAGGATTTGATGGGATCAGGGCTATGGAGTCTGCACACATAAAACCTTTGACTCTGACTCCTTTATTTATGGCTCCTCCAACTTTTTTAATTACACTTTGCTGACTCCGTGACCCAAGAATGGCTTCTAACTCCACAGCCCTGGATAGGATAAAGGAATTAAACCTCAGATGAACATACTAAAGTATCACTTGTTAAATTTTTAAAAATTATCAATTTGAATTGGTATACACATTATTTGCATATATAACTTGGGGACTATACAGTAATACATAAGCTAACAATACAGTAAATGTCCAGTAAAATAGGGGGCCCTAGGGCAATTTCCGCGCGCGCTCGACCAAAAATCGAAAAAATATGGAAATTGAGTTATATATACCGAGAAATAGCTTAACTCTTTGGCAACACAATGGTACCAGAATGAATGTTCTACGACGTTTCTACAAGAAATTATAGTCATTTATATGAGGTAAGGTGACGGTGATATTGGTAGCGAGTCTGCTCACAGCCCATATATATTTTGGGAATTTTTCCTTGTTTTTTATCGCTTTTTCTTGCATTATACTTTCTAATATAATAACTGACTACTTGGCATCATAAAACTGAAGGCGGAGCTTATCCCTAGATTTAGCAACAGTCATTAATCATATCATGACGCGCGGAAGGGTTGCCGCGCCAGTAGAAATCACTCATTATTACGCTTATATCAGCTTATATATCAACTCTACAGCTTATTTATCTATCAGAATTGATCTAATATGATATAATAAACACTCTAAATAACATACAAACATGTTATATACTCTAGACTGAAAAAAGTAGGCCATAATATGGCGAAAGATTATCGGGAATATTTCGATATAAAAGTGTTACTGCTCTCCATGTCATCTCCGAGTAAGAGAAAATGGTGTTTTGAAGAGGATAACTGCACTAGAGCATCAGTTTACTAAGAAATACACCCAAACGCGATTTTCGCGAAAAAAAAAATTTTTTTTTGAGACGGTGGGTCGGCCGGCGTTCCCGGCCGATATCTCGGAAGTAACTTATTCACCTAATGTTCCTATTTCTGCCTTTATTACTTAATTAAATGGAATAATATTCACAGAAGTTGGTTTCTCTTATTTTGTTCAAGCTCTTTTTTGAAATATTCCAAATACTTTTGGAGTTATGTGGGAGTAAAGGGCAGATTTTTTTTGCAACATTCCAGGAACTAACAAACTTTATTTTTTTGTGAAACAAAGAAAAGTTATTTAGAGTAAAGGCGTTGAGCAAAGTTCGTATAAGCATTGCTCTCTCGGCACCAAGTGTCCAAACAACCTTACGATGTCCCATATAGGAATAAATTTTGACACAAGGGCATTTTTCAGCAAATCAGTCTTTTTCAGTCTTTTCTCAGTTATCGTTTGAGGTATATTTTTGATAAATATTTTCAAGAATGAGTGAAAACACTTTGTCTTGTGCACCAAAACTGGAGGAAATCAGACGGTAAACAAAAAAGCTAATTTTTTTTGCCGTAGGGTCCCGTAGGTAGAAGGGGTGTCTGCTTACGGCCGACTTGTTAAAAAAAAAATATATACTTTTTTTTTTTTTTTTTTCAACAAGTCGGCCGTCTCCCACCGAGGCAGGGTGAGCCAAAAAAGAAAATCCCCAAAAAGAAAATACTTTCATCATCATTCAACACTTTCACCTCACTCACACATAATCACTGTTTTTGCAGAGGTGCTCAGAACACGACAGTTTAGAAGCATATACACGTATAAAGATACACAACATATCCCTCCAACCTGCTAATATCCCAAAACCCCTCCTTTAGAGTGCAGGCATTGTACTTCCCATTTCCAAGACTCAAGTCTGGCTATATAAAAATAACTGGTTTCCCGAATCCCTCCACTAAATATTACCCTGCTCACACTCCAGCAGATCGTCAGGTCCCAAATACCATTCGTCTCCATTCACTCCTATCGAACACGCTCATGCACACCTGCTGGAAGTCCAAGCCCCTTGCCCTCAAAACATCCCTTACCCCTTCCTTCCAACCTTTTCGAGGATGACCCCTACCCCGCCTTCCTTCTCCTACAGATTTAAATGCCTCCATGTCATTCTACTTTGATCCATTCTCTCTAAATGACCAAACCACCTCAACAACCCCTCTTCAGCCCTCTGACTAATACTTTTATTAACTCCACACCTTCTTCTAATTTCCACACTCCGAATTTTCTGCATATTTACACCACACATTGCCCTTAGACAGGACATCTCCACTGCCTCCAACCGCCTCCTCGCTGCTGCATTCACAACCCAAGCTTCACACCCATATAAGAGTGTTGGTACTACTATACTTTCATACATTCCCTTCTTTGCCTTCATAGATAACGTTTTTTGACTCCACATATACCTCAACGCACCACTCGCCTTTTTTCCTTCATCAATTCTGTGATTAACCTCATCCTTCATAAATCCATCCGCCGACACGTCAACTCCCAAGTATCTGAAAACATTCACTTCTTCCATACTCCTCCTCCCCAATTTGATATCCAATTTTTCTTTATCTAAATCATTTGATACCCTCATCACCTTACTCTTTTCTATGTTCACTTTCAACTTTCTACCTTTACACACACTCCCAAACTCATCCACTAACCTTTGCAATTTTTCTTTAGAATCTCCCATAAGCACATTATCATCAGCAAAAAGTAACTGTGTCAATTCCCATTTTGTATTTGATTACCCATAATTTAATCCCACCCCTCTCCCGAACACCCTAGCATTTACTTCTTTTACGACCCCATCTATAAATATATTAAACAACCATGGTGACATTACACATCCCTGTCTAAGACCTACTTTTACCGGGAAGTAGTCTCCCTCACTTCTACACACCCTAACCTGAGCCTCACTATCCTCATAAAAACTCTTTACAGCATTTAGTAACTTACCACCTATTCCATATACTTGCAACATCTGCCACATTGCTCCCCTATCCATAGATCCATAAATGCAATAAAAACTTCCCTACCTTTATCTAAATACTGTTCACATATATGCTTCAATGTAAACACTTGATCTACACATCCCCTACCCACTCTGAAACCTCCTTGCTCATCCGCAATAGTACATTCTGTCTTGCCTCTAATTCTTTCAATAATAACCCTACCGTACACTTTTCCCGGTATAATCCATAAACTTATTCCTCTATAATTTTTACAATCTCTTTTGTCCCCCTTCCCTTTATATAAAGGGACTATACATGCTCTCCGCCAATCCCTAGGTATCTTCCCCTCTTTCATACATTTATTAAACAAAAGTACCAACCACTCCAACACTATATCCCCCCCTGCTTTTAACATTTCTGTCATGATCCCATCAGTTCCAGCTGCTTTACCCCCTTTCATTCTCCATAATGCCTCACGTACCTCCCCCACACTTACATTCTGCTCTTCTTCACTCCTAAAAGATGGTATACCTCCCTGGCCAGTGCATGAAATTACCGCCTCCCTTTCTTCCTTAACATTTAAAAGTTCCTCAAAATATTCTCGCCATCTACCTAATACCTCCCTCTCCCCATCTACTAACTCCCCTACTCTGTTTTTAACTGACAAATCCATACATTCCCTAGGCTTTCTTAACTTGTTTAACTCACTCCAAAATTTTTTCTTATTTTCATTAAAATTTCTTGACAGTGCCTTTCCCACTCTATTATCTGCTCTCCTTTTGCACTCTCTCACCACTCTCTTCACCTTTCTTTTTTTACTGTCCATATACTCTGCTTTTCTTATAACACTTCTGCTTTGTAAAAACCTCTCATAAGCTAACTTTTTCTCTTTTATCACACCCTTTACTTCATCATTCCACCAGTCACTCCTCTTTCCTCCTGCCCCCACCCTCCTATAACCACAAACTTCTGCCCCACATTCTAATACTGCATTTTTAAAACTCATCCAACCCTCTTCAACCCCCCACTACTCATCTTTGCAATAGCCCACCTTTCTGCC